CAAAGATTGACATTCATTTTCTTCAGTTTCTCAACAATACATCATTATTAAAAGATTAGAAGGAATCACATGCAGAGAATTATACATATATATGTATTCATAAAGTTCTCAAAAAGAAATCTAAAAACATTCGAAATACAGATTTTTCACAGTCCAAAATTTTTATTTTCGTTTGGGCGATTTTACTGATATTTCTTCTGATTAGCTGAATTTTTTTCTGCATAATGAGCACTGCAAATAAAACTTACTACTGATTATATAGATGGATGCTTTTTTCATTTTTTTTATTGCCTTGAAGAGTGTGTGTGTGTATTTAATTATGGCAAAGCACACTAGGGCTATCTGCCTAAGGGGAAGGATGCCTTCGTGGAGGACTTTCTAAGGGAAACTGGCTCGTATACACGTTACACATGGAGAAAACCACGAAAACACCCATGCAGCCGGCCCGTTCGCGGGATTCGAACCTCGGACCGAACTACCAGTATTCAGCGACTTTACCGCTCGGCCGCTGGTGGGCCCTATTGCCTTGAGGAAGCAAATATCTTACTAAAACAACATGAGATGAGAACGTAAATCGAAGCATCAATTTTCATCAAGAGATACACTGACCATGGAACTTTGTGATCACTGCAGTGATAATTCTCAAAAGAAGTGATTAATAATTTGATTTTCATTTAATTTAAGAATAACAGTGTCTTCATGTGAGATAAAAGTTTCAGGTACTCCCAACAGGACTAAACCAAGTAGCCATTTCGGTGTTATTAAGGTTAAGTGGATAAAGTTTGTTAATGTAGCGATCATCATGAATTCTTTGGTTTTTATCATGATTATAAATGTAAACAGACATTAAGACATATTAAAATATGTATGTATAAATAAAATATGTATGTATATATAAAATAATGCATGGATAGTATTATTTGCAAATAATACAGAGGACTTGTAGCTATGAACAAAATATGAAGTTTAATATTTAATAAATCTAAAGAACGAAATATTGAGTTATATTGCCATAATTGTATTACTAAACTCTTCAAACTTATTTTGAAATGCTTAAAATAATATAATTCAATTATAGTAAAACAAATAAAAATATGCATTGTTTTGAGCTCTAAATCTTCATTTCCATTGCAAGAGACAGCTACATCTTGTTTACGGTCTTTCAGAAAAATGCTTAAAATACTGAAAATAATATAGTTCAACTATAATAAAAATGAGAAAAATATCTATTGTTTTGACATTTAAATCTTCACTTCCAGTGCAACAGACAGCTACATCCTGTTTACCGTCTCTCAGAAAAACTATCGTGTCTCCATTTCTGATCAACATATCAAGAGAAACAAAGCAGTTTCTGATAGTTAGGAATATACTCTCATAAAAAAATGAAATAAAAAATAAGGTATCTGGTCGCAAAAGGTTTGTAGAATAAGTTTAGTTATAGGAAACTAGAACTTTTCCCATAAAGAAAGGAAAACGACAATTCTTTCCTTCCCATTTAAAAAAATTGTGTAGAATTATTTTATAAAATTTGCTGCTTGATTTGCGTTACAAACATTATCAGATAAGAAATGCTTCTTTTTCCAGTGTATACTCAACAGGCAAAACTCCTTACATATTATTTTATATTTTTCTTTAATATTAATGTGAATATGGTACAAGTTCTGCTTTCATGGTTTTATTTCCAAACTACTGCGTAACTGAATCTCATGGAAAACGGCTTTTATAGTAAAACTATCTCGATTTGAAAATATTAATTTCCTTAAAGTAGAGCAAATTAAGGCTTAATTCCTTTATAAAAATGATGCAAAATATGATTGATTTAACCCATACGCCTTTCAGAGAAAAATATTGTACGATGTGCTTCCGAAAATACATGTTGGTAGTGTAATAATTTCGCATCATGTAATTTGTCGGTAGTATTTCAAACTCAGTCAGAGATTCAGTTTTTATTAGCAAGTTATATAAGTCCAATTAAAAGTCTAGTTTGAAAGAAAAGTTACTTAAAATATCGATTATAAGTAGATTTCTTTTCATAGGTTTTCTTCGTCTTCTGTTTTTGTTTTTATTTTGTACATTAACTAAATAATTTTCAGATGTGAAAACTCATTTCCTTTGCATTTTTTACTATTCGTAACTTGTTTATTTAATCTATAATATCTCTTAAAATATACAAGTGTATAAAATATAAAAATTAATAGATATTTTCGTCTTGAAAAAAGGGAACATCCATCCAAATCACCTTAAATATATGACATTGTGGACTGTAAATACTTTCATGTTAGTATTCTGTTGGTTTATCATATACTTCTCCTCTCGGAAAGTTATGTAATGATTATGGATAGAATAGACCTTTTTCGCGATCTCGACTTGATAGTTCACAGAAGTCGAGTTCATTAATCGTTTTTAAATGTTTTATGTAATGCTTATTTATATAGTTTCAGGTAAAGTCCTATAATTTCACTTTTAAGCTGTGACTTTAGACGACTAAATAAATATAAATTTACCATTGAGTAGCTTGACCACTTCCGTTCAGGTGGAATGTGGTCCCTCGAGAAACCAGAAAAATAAGATGGCTGTGGATGTAATGGATGACAAAGCTGCTGTACAGGACTTTTTCATATTCTGTGTTAGCTAAATGAACTGAAATTACGTGTAAGATGTATTTTAGCTAAAACTTTAGTTTTATTTTAATTCACATCTTTAGCTTCTGTTTTTTCCATCAGCAGTTTCCAAAATGCGATTTATGTTAAGGTAAAATTGCGAGCAACAGTTTAGAGATAGAGTACTGTAGTAACCAGCCAGTATAACTGTGTAGCTTGAGACATCCACCTGTTACTTGGTGAGTGAAAATTTATATCTCTTTAGCTCGGGAGATGGGATCCCCATTTCCAAAATGGATTTGGCAGGTTTCTGAAATCAAGCAAGCAGCGGTGGCTATAAAGTTTTAAATTTTAATTTTACAAGACATAATTTGAATATAATTTTCGTTTTCCTTTTAAAAATCAAAGTTTATTTTAATTAAATTTAAATTTAGAAACTTTAATGCTAACAAAAATTTTAGTCAGTATAAAATAAAATTTTTACTGTAATTGAAATTTAATTAGACTTCTATTTGTAGCGTGAAGCTCAAAATTCGTGAGAGCAAAGGAAAATTAAACAATTGTAATTAGGTCATTCATTCGGTTTTACCCTACGTATGAATCTTTAATTATATTACACTGATATAACACGGTTTTAGCATAAAAAGTTTGAAACTCAAAAGTGAGCAAGTTTTGTAAGCATATTCAGATACATTCGTGCGCCTATTATCTAATCCTTTTGTGTGTGTGTGTGTGTGTGTGTTGTTGTTACCCCGATGTTACCACTTTTCTATCACTTGGCCGTTTTCTTTTTTAAGGGAAGGTATATGTACTATACAAATTATGAAAATAAATTACTAATTTTAATTTAGCAATAGTCCTTTTAATTCCTCCTTTTAATTTGCTATGTTTCCTTCCTGGAATCTAAACTGCATCATTTTGAAAACTAATTAGCATTATATGAGCTTATTTACTGCAATGCCGTTAGCTCTTGTCCAATCACGGTTCAAAATTTAAAGAACGGAATATATCCTACGTAAATACCGATTTGCTGAAATGCGTACTCAGTTTTTCCTATCTTCCTTCGCTAAGCTAACGTGCATTGCTTACTTATCTATTTCATTTATTGTCTCGAAATATGATAAGTTGTATAAATAATTGTAGGAGGCTTGTCGCATAGTGATGTGTAAAAGAGAAGATGTATCGTCAGAAATATTCATCAAGAAATAAAATTATGTGGTGAATCTACTAGTTTTGGTCTATCCGTTTACTACGCATCCTATCTGTATGTCAGCCAAATCTGTAACCATCTCGTCCATGACTAAAAAATAATTAGTGTCTTCTCTCTCACGCATCCTAAAATGCTGTCCTCTTCAAATCCTCAAATCGTCATCTACATAGAATTATCACACATATTTATAGTTTATATAATATAAGCACGTCAGCTGTTACTTATGTAACTATAATTCTTTAATGGTGAATTTAACTAAAACATTCAATGTAACGTCTCCCATGTAAATGATGACAAATAAACAAATTAAAATGTTCATTGCAAGTAATTTTTGTTTTTCAGTATAAACAGAGTAACAGCAATGATTCTTCTTTGAAGCCGTTAATAATTGAAAATTATTTTCACCAAAATATCCTGTATCCGGTATAAAAGAAGAAAACATTTTTAATAATGTAAATGTTTTGGTCACTGTTATTCTACTCCTAAAGTCAGTTTCTTTATTGCCCCAAAATATTTTACTTGAGAATCATTCTTTTAAAAGCTTATTTGCAAAATCGATTGACCGGCTTTGTTTTTAATTTGTGTAAAATTTGGAGATTTGCAACTTTTAGAGCTAAAATCTGTTCTACATCTGTTACCATACAAGATGGTTTAATAACCATGTACTATTTCATTGTAACCCTAGCATAAACCGAAAAACAGGCACGCTTATTTTCTCCTCATTCAAAGAAAGATGCAAAATACCTTTTTTTAATAACTAATTGCTTTTATACGGATTTCGCTTGCTAATTTGATATTCTTCATTTGTACTAAAATAAAAGAGCCGCTCTTATCAAGCAATTTCCAGTGCCAAATGTTTGGTTATCGAAATATTTCATTGCGTGGTAAGATTTGAAAAGAGATGAAGTCAACTCGACTTCAGTTTTTATCCTGCTTTCAGCTGCTGGAGAAACATGATATCAAGATTTCGAAAATCTATTCTGTTTTCACTTTTTCTCTCTCTTCGCATGCTGAAAAAAGGCTGCTATTTTCTAATACGTAATGCAAAAATTAGAGTTTCCATTTGATAAATTAATAAGAACTCTAGTTCTCAGTCTATGATTTAATTGAGAATAAGTTTAGCAAAAAAAGATTCTGTGTAACTACACTACATAAATACGAAAGGAACACAGAATTGAAAAGTATCTTACCGTGTAAGAGGTTTCTTTTTTCGAAGACACACCCTGCAACAAACCATGACCACCGCTGCGAGCACCAACCCTCCGGCGACCCCCGCAAGAATGTACGCAGTGATGTTTTTGTACACTGTGATTGCATTTGGAGAGGCTACCTGGGGAGGCTATAAAAAATACATTTATTTCATGCATTACTTTACATAGTTTATAATCAACAATTATATTCAAGCAAAATTTTCATTTTGAGCACTTAAGGAAATATACGAAAGGAAAAATAAGAAACATGAAATCTCATTATATTTTGGTGGATAGTTAAATTTAATTGAACACATTTTTAAAAATTTTTTATTTAGTTGGAATTTTGAGTAAGCTTTGAAATAATAGAATATTTTTTCAACAACTGTTAACAGAATTTATGTAAAGACACAACGCTTTTTAAGGCCGATGTTTGAAATTTATGAATAAAATCTTTAAATAAGCATTAATATTCTCACATAGATGTGAGGTCTGATATTAATATTGTTACGAATTTTGTATCTAAGTAAATAATTTTAGTGAAATTATGTGTGAAACTGTAGTATTTTTTGTATAATATAACATGAAAATCTAAAGAGGCGATGCTTTGCCGGAAAAGTAAGAATAAATGGGCAAGTCAATTTAACGATGAATAAATGGTTATCTCGATACTTTGACGAGATATCGCCAAGCTGGCTACAGTTTTGGTAAGTAATATTTGTTGCCAAATTTGGTGAAAAATCACCAAATGTCTCCAAACTTAGTGACCACTTAGCAACATTTGTGCATTGTCATAGAATAACTGCAATTAATTCCATCTGTAGCTGTAACCGTATCCGGCCCTCATATGTCTTCCAGTAATTTCGAAAATTACTAGAGATTTCTCGATGCTTCGCCTTTTAGATGCGCTTTCCATTGCGTTGTGTCTAACGTTCTTAATAGTTTGAAGTGTAATTACTGATTGCATTCTGTGATACTATGAAGAGCTGTACGAGTATTTTTGTGGAGATTTTCAGAATTTTAAAGTGTTCCTTTTGGTAAAATAAATTTCATCGAACTATCATCAATTCTGGGTGCATTCAGTCTATTTCAAACCCTTACGCAAAAAACAATATCCTAAAAATTCAAAATTTGGGAGATTTCAGAAGATTCAATGTAACACCGAATTTCGCAAATTTAAAGCAACATTTTTCTAATTGCACAACAAAGTCTCTGCTTCACATGCAGGTGATAACAGCTTTTTAAAATCGTTTCGGTGTTATCTAACATTATCTAGTTTACGTTTAAAATGATATTTAACAATATTTGGAATTATAGGGATAGCTTGTATGATCATTAGATTAACGGGCGAATTTTAAGCTGATATATCTCACTTGGTAAAAATTTGATCTAAATCATTGACTTAAAACACCGAAAGAAACTATGTGAAAGACCACCTCCTTACTTTCTCTCTTTATGATTTCAATTGAAATCTTCACAACAAATAACATTAAAAAAATATAAAGCCTGCTACTACTAGTTCCTATTTAGCATCCGAAAAGCGTCCTAAGCTCGTTTCCTTTGAGTAGAAAATACACTAGTTCATCAAAAAATATATAAAATGACAAATATTTACACGTACCTCCATATGATAAGAAACATACTTGCTGAAATAAAAGCTAAAAACTAGCATAAAGTGGTGTGTATGATTATGGCAAAGCCTCGAGGGCTATCTGCCTAAGGGGAGGGATGCCTTCGTGGAGGACTTTTAAAACCGCCGTATACCGTACACATGGGGAAGAGAAAAACCCCGAAACACCCTCAGCAGCCCGTTCCCGGGATTCGAACTCGAGGGAATACAGTGTCAGCGACTTACGCTCGGCCGCTGGTGGGCCAGCATAAAGTGGTACAGATTATGTACTTCAGATGTGAGATTAAACTGGGAAATTCAAACCCTAGAGAATGACGCACTTTACATAAATTAAAAGGCTCTTAGTGAAACCGGTTGAGAATATGTTGCTCTTTAACTGTATTGCCGAAGAGCGCTGGTGTCAATAGTTCGCCTGTAAATCATTATGCATTTACTAGGTTGTTATTTTTAAATCTATTTACATACAACCAATGAAATTAGCATATTTCATCACTGTGGTATTTTGATGTAATATGGCTAGCATTAGACAGCATGACTTCATTTTCAGAAAATCGAAAGATCTAGTCAAACTTTCTCCTTCGGTTCTAACCTCTTTTTATTTTGAAATTCTGCGAATATCTTCTAGTAGTGAAAATGAACAAGACTTTAATGAAAACTTACTTTCAGATGTTAAAAATACAACCTGAAATGACATTAATAACTTTAAAAATATTCAGTTTTTCATAGTTTGATTAGAAAATAAATAATATACAATTTAAAATTAATTTTCTTAAGGCTTTCTTACAAAATCAAATTTATCTTTTCAATTCAGAGAATAAAGAGTTCATTGTTTTCTACATGAATCTATTGTGTATTAAACTGAAGTATTCAAAATTTTAGGTGCATAATTTAAAGTTTAAGCTGAACATAGCTTGAAGTATTTTACTCGTGATCCCTAATTTGTATCTTTCATTTACACTTATATGGGAAATAATTTTAAAATTGCAACTAAAAATAAAATGATATTAGTTACAAATTTGAAATTTGGGAAATTCAGTAGTATTTTAAATTCTGTCGAATCCTAGACTTAATAATGAAAATGAACTTGCAGTTTTGCAGTTAATTGAGACTTCCACTGCATCCAATTAAATTAATTATAAATCATGAAGATATCAGAAAAGTCTCCAAAAATTAAATTTTCCAACATATTACAACAAAGTTTTATTTAGAAAAGGAATAAGTAGACTTCAGTGTACAAAAATTTCTGTTCAGATTAATGATTCGATTCGGACATTTTTAGATTTAGTGCCTTCATTTAGTGCTCTTCTTAATAGGTTACCACGAGCCTGTAAAAATATGCTGTTTCGTATTTCCTTCTATTCATCAGAATAAATTTGCTCGAAATTCCGGTTTTCTCTTATAACGAAACGCAGAAGCTTTTTTCTTGGAAAAAACTTACCACTAGGGATAAGATGTGGATCTTTTACAACAATATTTTGAAGAAAATTTATCGGATAAGTCAAATGAACTTCTTTCAGTCATCCCCATATATTGGCCTTATTCCAAGAAACTCAGGCTCCAGCTACTATACATCCAACTCTAAAGAATATTGTTTGCATTTAGCAATTCTTAAGCCAGAAATTAACTCCTGGAATTTCAGTTCTTTCGGAATATTCTGTATTTCATCTCAATAGCGTTAGGCGCCGAATTTCAATGAATGATCAGTTAGGACTTATTAAGTATGATTAGGTTGAGTGTGTGTGTGATTATGGCAAAGCCTCGAGGGCGACTTGCTAAGGGGAGGGAGCATTTGTGGATGTTTCTAGGGACTGGTCGTTACCGTAACAATGGTAAAACCTAAAACGCCCAATGCAGCGAGCCGTTAGCGTGATTCGAACTCGGCCGAACACTACCCGTGTCAGCGACTTCTCGCTCGGCCGTGGTGGGCCTAAATATGTTAGGATGTCGTGTTATTCGTCTTAGGCCTTGAGTTTTCTTCCTCCGGGAGGTACTTCAAATTTCCGTGAAGGGGTCGTTCCAATTCTTTGAAGGTTTAAGGCCTTGGATTCTTTTCCAATAAATCTATGAATTCTTTGGCAAGAAAAATTTTTCATCTGCCAGAGAGATGATAAAAAGTCGTCGAACAAATGAAGCACGTGTTGTTTAATAAGATGTTCGAGTATCTTAATTCTCAATAAAACTTACTTTAAAAAAAATTGCAGTTTTTCCGGCGGATCCAGTTCTTCAATCAGATACCAGTGTAAACAATTTGCTTCGATAAGAAATCAAAGTTAGATTTCTTGTCTTAATGGAACATCGAATAGTCCATTAATTCTGCCTTCAAGTCATACAGCCTTCCATAGTGCTATCAGTTTTATTACTAAAAGTGGGCATTAAACTGCTATCTGCATTAAATTTTCCGTTAACGTTTGGATAAATTAGAAATGCATATAAAATAAGGGAGCATAACTTCAGTAAGTTTTAATCTAATTCTCTAACATCATCTGAAAAGTTGCAGCTTCCGAAGCAATTGTTCCTTTACATGAAAGATGTAAAAATAAATTAATTGAATATCTACTAATAAAGTGAGTTCCATTATATGTGATAGCGACAAAATGTGTTTAATAGATAGCGATAATTCATTTGAGATTTTATTTCTTCTCATAACGTTGAGTGAAGATTAAGTTTATTCCAAAAAGTAAGACAGAACAGACAGACGATCTAAAATACAAATATAAGTGCTTTCTTCAAAAGATAATTAGAAGGCTCTTAAAATTTACTTATGTAAAATTGTTGAAAGATTTCAAAACTAAATTCTGACCATCAGGACCTACAACAGTAAAATAAAAATAATGCTTCCCATTATTTGAATTTGTAATGAACGGCACTGTTTACATAAGTAAAATACAAATATATAAGAGAGGGTAAGATAGTTTTCAAGGAACCTTTTGAATTTTTCTAGAAGGATCTAATTATCTCCAATATGGCTTTAATACGAAGCCTTGTCTAGTTATTTGAATTATCGTATTAAAGGACTATTGAGAGCAAAGTTGTAACAGAGTAAATTTTTGTAAAGCATTCTAAACGGTCTTTATAAAGTAAATTTCGGGCGTTCTTCAAGACTAGTTGACCAACACCTCCTCCGTTGCCTAGCAACCTCAGCCCTCAGTTTCCGCCTACCCACACTCTGACATCATCGGTGACGTCAATGGAAACCGTCATGCGTTTTACGTAACGATCTGGTTGCTGACGTTATTCGAGACTAGAGGTATGTGAGATGAAGTAAAAGCTTTTTTCGGCACGAATCCAACACGCGTCGACATCAACAAAAGCTACTACTCTTCCGATGAATGAAATTACTAACAAAACTTTCTGCCAATCGGTGGCCACTTGTTTTAAAGACTCTTCCGTACTACGATTACACCAGTTTCTAGGTAATTTCACTTGACAATTACAAAAGCAGTACCTATCCAGGCTTAAGGCAGGTCAGCGGGAAAATTGAAAAACCAATAAATCTTCTGTTTTCGATTTTTAAGATCG